TCATACATCTTTCCTCAGGGTTTGTCTGTTTAGACTGTTTACCGAGTACCATCAGCACGTGCCTGCTATGTATCTAAACTGGATTCATCTCTTCCAGAGCCAGGGAAGATGAGATTTAATATGGAACAGGTAGAGTCAAGAGATTATAAACAGAGATTATAATTTTATCGGTAGAGTGAGGAGTTGTCAAATTCCATTTCAATGGCATTTTGAACTTTCCATTATACTAATCCTAAAAACCTTTGGATTATCTCCAACGACCACAAGAGCAATCATTTCATACACTCGGAAAATAGTTGACAGCTCCAATTCGGGCCCAATAACCTAGCCCATGAGATTCATTCAAAACAAAAGATTTTGATGCTGGAGACTCCAACCTCTTTGTTTTTATTACAGCTATCTATATAGGCTACCTAAACATGACCGGTATATATGGTATAATCAATCATCTCCCTAATGGGTTATGGCAGATTCCGCCCTGTTGCAAGTTTGCTTCAAATCTGAGACACTGAAACTAGTTTCTTTACTAACGAAATATGATTATAGATTTGCTTAAACAAACCTTGAATTTTGATTGGTTATGGTGTTGACCGTTTCATTGACCGAGCGAAAATAAATCCGATTAAAATGGATGGATGGATGTAATAAATGAACAAATTTCATGCTGATACTAAAACATGGACTGGGCATGGACAAGCATGGCATCATTAGTACTTTAACCCTCTGAGGAACACTGGTTTTTCGGTTTGTCTTATGGCAATGAGAAATAGATTTGAGATACCTGAAAGTTGGGTGAAAGTAGAGGCTCAGTGCTGATAAATAACAAAATTTGTTTTCTGTTGTTAATCGCGCAAATTCCAACCATTTTGCATTTTGACTGATCGCAGTAGTTCACTGCAGGTTCTGAATTTTATTTGGAAGCCAGGAGTCTTAGCGACGACAAATCTCAGCAAGCTGACCATTTCATTCACATGCGTCTACGCACAATTTGAATATTTCGTTCAGGACAAAGTAAATTTTGTCGAAGCTAGGGAACAAAAGTCAAATTCGAGGAGACGTATATACTAAAAGTGAAAGGGGTTAAAAATTGCGTGTAACACCGTGCGGAAAGTAAGCTTAACAAATCACGTTGGTCGGTGTGCAGTTTGGTTGATCTTTTC